TATTTCTTTCAATATCTGTATCAATATTAACTCAATGCTCAAGTAATTAAATATTTAAAAAATAAATATAAATTAGGAAGAACCTGGCTATTTGTCGCTTTTCACAATAAATTTAAATATGCTTTAAAAAATTTGATATAGTTTTTTTTATTTTAATTTTTAAATTTTTATCTTGTCTAGAACAATATGATTTCTTCCTGATTAAAAAAATTATTCAATTTTATTTTTACAATTTTGTTTGTGCTTGAAGATTGTATATTTTTGACTAGGTGCCCTTAAAAAGACAATTCTATTTTTGTTAATATCTCCTTAACAACTAACTCAATCATCGAGATATTTTGTAAGGTATTATCTGCCTCATATATGCATCTTATAATATAAAAAAATCTATAATTACTTTATTACTTTTTATAATAATTAGAAAACTCATGTTTTTTGAGCTAAATACTTTATTTCTTAATAAGCATGAAGAAAGTCATTTTCTTTTGTAATCTCAGTATTTTTATATTTTTTTCTTCTCTTTATGACCTAAAGTTTACTTTGATTTAGTAACAGTTCTTATAATAGTATAAATTTCTATTAACAGCTACTTTGTTTAGTGCAACTTGAAAAAAAAAAAAAAAAAGACTTCAAAATCAAATGGTTTATTTGCTGCTTTTTTTAGACTACAGTTTAATTTTACATAATATTTTAAAATGTTTATTATCATAGAATAAAATAAAAATGAACCAAAACTTTCGCTTAAGAGTAACATCCAGATCAGTAATAAAAAAGCCAAGAAATAAATCTGAAGCAGCTGTAAAGCAGTTTAACCGAGAAGAAAGAAATAAACTGATAAGCCAAGCTGTAGAATGGTGCAAAATTAATGGAAAGCGAGGATATGCTGCAATATCAACAGGGCATTATCCATATATAAAAAGAAAAATTGTGATTGATAAGCGGTTAGATAATCTAGTTCATACAGGAAACGAGAAAAATCATCTAATGATTCTAACAGCAGAAGAAGAAGATACTATAGTTGAGTATGTAAAATGCTGTAAAAATCGGTGTTTAAAGCTTTTTAAACACCGATTTTTACAGCTTAGTCGTTTTGGAGACGATGGGATGCCAAACATGTCAATGTTTCTTTGAAAAGACAAGGAATCATCACAATGAATAAAGCGATAAATTGCACTCGTGAAATGGCCTGCTCTCATTTAGATAAAACAATTTCAAAATTCACAAAAATAAATAGCATATGTTTAAAAAATTTTAGCATATGTTTTTGGCATTTAAATCAAGAAGTAACAAACTCATCCAAATAACTAAGATATGCTAATACAGAGTTAAAACTCTGAAATCTGTTACAGTTTGATTTTTAAAAAGTAATTTTTAAAGATTATTCACTTTTAGATGATCTTCCTAAAGAGTTGGTGGAATGTGGCATCATGATTAAAGAAAATCAAGAAACATCTGGATTTTGGACCGAGCAAATTGACTTGACTCGGATCTTTAATCACAATCAAACTTCACAATTTGTTAACTTTGGTGTTAATGGTTCAGCAAGCGGTTTAGTATATGGTGGTCGTGGTAAAAGATGTCAAAAATTGATTCGGCAAAATTGTGAATGTGTTACAATAAATCCAATGGTGTTGTTATCAGATAAACTATACCAAAACACATTTTAGATTTTAAACTTTACTTTTAACTAATTAATACATATTTATTATATTTTTTATTTTATATAACACCCTAATTTACTATAAAAGCTTATTAGTAAAAGTGGATTTTATAAAAGTTAACAAACTTGAAAATATAAGACAACACGTGTATTTTATTACTAAAAACTTCACATTTTCTATGCTTTTTTATTATTTAGGTGAAAAATGCATCTGCCATGTAAAATTTGGTACTCAAGGAATTACTAGTCAGATGGCTCTGCCGAGTGCTGTTCAAAATATTTCTAACTTATTAGTTTCAACAACCGAGAATAGGCCACAAATCTTTACTTGCATTTCATAAATATTTTGATCGACGCTTGATTGAAAAAGAAATGTTGTTTTGCTAAGCGTTGGTCACAGTTTTCGCTTCTATTATACCTTACTTCGATTTCTTAGAGAGAAAGAAATATATTTATTTATTTCACCTCCTGACACTACTGGGGTAACACATCAACTTGATCAAATTAACAAAGCACTCCATGAACACTATGCAAATGCAAAAAAAATTTTGTTTAACCAACATCAAACAATTAATAGAGAAGCCTTTTTGTTGTCTCTTGCAAGTATGTGGGATAAGTGGGCCACGCCAGAATTGATAAAAAAAACTGGAAAGAAGGTTGGTATTACTAATAAAAGTTTAAATGTTGCATTTATGCAAAATAATAAATTTCAACAAGCTTCTATGCTAGCAGAAGAAGTTAAAAAAAAACAGTTCTTTGATAGAAACACCTCAATAACAGACAACATTGTGTTTATTAGCTGCTTTACCTAACGTTACTGATATTTCTACAGTTCTAAATAGAAAATTAAGTTCTCTTATATAAATAAAACGAAAAGATAGCCAAATGTATTGGAGAAAAAAAGCTTCAAACTGGAAAGACAAATGTTTGTCATTGCAGGCCATGATTACAGACTTACATGAAAAAAGCATAAATCTTAATGACATACCAGGTCTTTTGACAATCCAAAAAGTAAAGTCAACTCAAAGTAATAGTATGCATAAAGAAACTACAAGAGTAACTCAAGCCCATGGCTCCATGGAAGGTCAAGATATGCTTAAATTGTAGAGTCTATTAACAATTAAAAGGAAAAAAAGTGCAAGACAAAGAAGACAGAGAAAGTAAAAAGAGTAAAGAAACTGATTTTTTCTATAGATGCAAAGAACTATGCATTTCAGACAATGGCATTTGTGAAGCTGCAAAGCTAAAACAATGTCCCATGTGCCGAATAGTTATGAAATCAGTATACAGTAAATATAAGTGCATCGTGGATGGTAAAAAACAAAATATGATTTTACCTAAATGTTTATCAAAAAAAAAAACCGCTGCAAAGAACTTATTTAGAAAGTATAATGATGAAGAAGACAGTATTGAAGATTTGGAATCCAATAGATTCCATTATTAAGAATCTTTTTTATTATTCATTAAAAATTAAAAAGTTATTTTTGTTTTTTGAAGTTTTTCTCTTTCAGAAGTATAAAAAATTCGATAAAAAGTTAATAATATATGGTGCCCTTAAAAAGACAAAAATATGAACATTTTTGCAGAGCTTTTTAAGCAACCAAAACTATATGTTCTTATCAAGCAAGTGAAAAACAATTACTACTTTTATTAGGACCCTATTAATAGCTTTTTTTGAGACTCTTGTTTACGAAGTTAAATTCAATATTTTTCATTTTATGTTAAATATTAGTAACTTTATGTACTCAAATTTTTTAAAAAACAATCTTCAGGAGAATAACTTAAAAAAATTTGAACATCTCCACAATAATTTGACTTTTTTCTGAAATTTATATGGTCTGATTATATTTTTGCATTAGCACAATTTAAAAAAATGCTTTTTAAGAATAGTTATAGGCAATTTAATTTTTTGTCTTTTTAAGGGCACTGCTTTTTTAAGGGCACTATACCTGTAAAGCATTCTGGATCTTTTTTAGACGAAAAACCTAATGGACGCGAAAAAGACGTTTAAAAGACGTTTAGAAATTAAATGGGACGGACGGACGCTAATTGAACGATCAAAAGACTTCTTTTTTACGCCCCGTGCCCACTGGGTTACCATTTAAATTGTTTATAAAATTGTATTTATGAGATTTTAAGTTTTCTAAAATAGAGGATATAAAGTTTTCAAAGTTATTTATTGGATTGTTAAAATTATCGATTTCACTCATATTGTTTTATTTTGTTATAAATTAAAAAAAAAAATTAAACCAAGAAGTTCAAAAACAAATTATAAAAGTTTGTATTAAAAGTCGTTTTGTCACTAGCTTTACTCTCAATAGGCATTTCTTAACGATTAACGGTTATAAATCAGTCACTATTCATTTCACTGCATAACTAAGATGATCGTATTTTAATGTTAATGTTTTTGTAAACACTTTTCTTATTTTTTAGTTTATAATATATACTTTTGGAAAGAATTTTGTAAAAAATATATATTTTAACACGGTGCTTAAAGTTTCTTCATAGGCAAAATATGACGTTCAAAAAATAATGATAATAATAATAATAATAGCAATAATAATAGCAATAATAATAATAGCAATAATAATAATATTAATAATAATAATAATAATAATAATAATAATAATAATAATAACAGCAATACTAATATTATTAATAATAATAATAATAGTAATAATAATAATAAAATAAAAAAAGCTATTGACATGATTTAACATAACAAGCTTATAAAACAGTTTACCTAATTATTTTATTAGAAAAGATTCTTTTTTACACTTTATGTATATTATTTAGGGGAGAGCACGCACCAATGATACAAATATATGTTTTCATTTCGATCTCTAAAGTATCAGTAAAAGATAGCAAACTTCGTACCTTATCATGATTTAATAAAAAAATTTTTACTAGAATATTTTATCTAGATTTTGAATTTAATAATAAAAAACACTCAATTGGAATTCCCTACTAGCAAGCTTACATTGGCCCATTCCATGGTCATACATTAGCCCTATGTTCAAATTCAATGTTGGCCTAATGGAGGTTTGATCATTGGTTAGAAATTGGCCCAACGTTATGTACAACGTTGGCCCATGGTTGCATACAACGTTACCCCAACGTTGACCCAGCCTTGTATTCAACATTGTTCCAATACCATATGTTAAATTAGGCCAATATTGTATTAAACGTTAGGCATGTTATTATAAATTAGTTATATACTGATTATCAACAGCAAATATTATATATCGGCCTAATGTTTTATGCAACATTAGATCGTTGTTACAAATAAATGATTTGTATCGCTTCATTGAAATTTATAGAGAAATAAAAACAAAAAATGTATGATACAAGTATAAAAATATATTTATTGAATTTACACAATTTCTCCGTTAAGTATACATTTGTAAACACCAAAGATAAACCGAAAACTAACACATTGAGTTTTAAATAAAAAAATTCCATATAAAATTTATGGAGTAGTTTTGATATTGGCTAAGCTAGTTGTTATTGAATCGTGTTTAGCTAATAATATTTGGTGCCCATGACGATCATCTTTTCTTTAACCATCTCTATCACATGCCTCCATAAGTCATGCTTGTTTGACTTCACACCTTCTGCAAAAAAAAAAAAGTTGTTTTTTTAATTATATACCAAAAAAACATAACAAATTGAAAGTAATCGTGGAATGCAAAATTAAAACTGAAAAAATAACTTTCTAAAGCACTTACTAATAGCAACATATACAATTAACCTTTTTCCTTTTCCGATTTTTTGTCCTCTCCCTACATAGTTTAATATTTCAGCTCAGCCATTTTTAAAAACTATTCTTAGTAAATAACATACATAATCTCTTTCGCCTTTAACTCCGATTTGTCCATAATATTTAACCTGCAAAAAATATACAACTTTGTGATAATTATAAAATCTCGTTTCCAAAAACACTTCAAAGGGTATTTTGTTTAAAGTTCATCATTTGTATAAAGATATCAAACAAAATGCATAAATCGATCCTAAAAAATATTTACCATTTGCTTAAGTATTTACTTGTTATTCATTTTTTTTCTAGAGTACTTAGATTCTCAACAGTTTTTAGTGGAAATGTCACTCTGTTAGGCAAATAATTAGTTGAGATATCTTTCTTACTCTTTCTAATTATGATTAAAATTAAATTTGTTGTATTTTGTAGTTCACCAAGTTGCACTTCAATGCTTTCCAAATATGTCAATAATACCTGCATATCTTTAGGACACACAATTTTATCTTAAAACAATGAAGATAATAATAATCTTAAGAAACTCTACAACAACTTACATAGAACTTTTAGAATTTATGAAAGTAAATACAACAATCGCTGATAAAGCAAATGTAATTAAAGACAAAGGAGCAAATTTTTAATGATAAAATATATACTTGCCAATGGATTCATAATACTTTTATGAACTATAGAAATTGCTGGTGTGCATTCAATACCTGATACTGACACAAAACAATTCTCTTTAACGTTGAGATACAAACTGCACTCTAAAGCAAAAAAATCATATTAAATCTCTCTTCAAATAATTTTTTAAAAATATTTTTATTCTGAATATTAATAATAATACAACTTTTAAAAATAACATCATCTATAAAAATATTGAATTACCTTTGTTTATTAGATAAAAAAACGTTTATATTATGAATTATAATAAACCGTCGGCAACTGTTAAAACTTTAAACTCATCTGAATGTTATGTTTTCTTTTCTAAGAGTTGATTTCAAATGGATTTCAAAGTTAGTGTAAGTTTTGATATTTTGGTTATTGCACGATAAAACGTTCATTAACACTCTGACTTTTTGATTGTAATATATGAAAAGTCTTTAAAAATTGTAAAAGTTAAAGTTATGAATAAAGATTTACAATAATCAGAAAAAAGATTTATGAGTTAAAACTTGCCATTTAAAAAATTTTGTTTATTCAACTTCTCAAAGCAAACATGGTAAAATCCCTCAAAGCAAAACAAAACCCAAAGTTTATTAATAATTTTTGTATCATTTACACCAAGATATACACAATTTTTTGTCTCTTCAACCTCTACTTTGGCTGATCATTTTTGCTGTCTTTCTTTATTGTCTCCAGAGCAAAAGTTTAGCCTTCTGCTAACTAAGTTCAATCTTGCATTGCTATAAAAATCTATATATCAGTTTATTAATAATTAAGTTACAACTAAATTTTATGTATAAGCTTAAAGTTGTTGTGCGCAGACTAAATATGAACAACATCCAATAAAATTGAATTAAAAAATAACAACCAAGAATATTGTCCCTCTGCCTCAGAAACATGGAATATATACAGGGTTATTTTGGTTGAAGTTGAATAATTAAAATCAGTTAATTTAAATCAATTTAATTCATAGTTTAAATCAGACGAATAAAAGATTTGAATTCAGTTTTTTGATTTTTAATTTTTTTTATGATTATTTACTGATTTAATCTTATAATTCAATCAACTATTATAGATAAGTCATTGCTTGTATAATAAAATGTCTGGCAATATTAGAAAGCACTACATAGGTAGAATTTAAATTCTAGTATCATCACTTTTTGTACACTGTGTTAATATGTTATTTAATGGGGTTTCACAATCAATCATTGAAAAAATCAAATAAAAGAAACATATTTAAAATGTAAAGCATCAGCTTCAAACAACCACAATGCCACTGTAGTAGTCATAAATAAAATTTTGTATGTAATGACAGTAGTAATGTACAATTTGAAGGTATTATCAATACATTTAGGAACTATTTTTGTTCATAATCTATATATTATTATCTGAAAAAATAATTCTTTAAGGTTTTGAAGTTTTTTTTTAAAAATCTTATTACTGTATGACATTTAAAATGTTTGATTTATTTATTATAGAGGACATTTCAAATATCATGTTTATTAATCAAATCAAAATTTGAAATTTCAATACAGTAATAAGTATTTTAAAAAATTATTAATTGTAAGATTTTTTTTTTTTTATACAACTTCAATAAGTTTACAAATCGTTATGTTATAACTACTTGACATAACACATAATGCAACGTAAAAAATATAATAAATTAATACCACGTATAACATAGCATAATAAAAAGTGGTTTAACAAGTATAACTAAGTATAGCTTAAATTTATAGTGTCTCTTATTATAAAAACTTCCAGTATTTTTTTTCAAAATAAAAGAATAAAAATAAGAAAAGAAGAAAAAAGATAAGAATTTATTTTGATACTTCAGATATATGCATGTTGTTGTAAAGGAAAACTCGAACAAATATAGCCTTTTTTTGTTAATTTTTATAATTTAAAAACATGAAAAAATAGTATCGAAAGCGTTCTTTATTTTGTAAAACAATACCGTTTTTTAAAAACGTTATGCAACAGGTTTTAAGAATACACCAATAAAACGATCTGCAACTACATTTGCTGAATATTGGCTCAACAGCGCTACGGCACTAGTGTAAAAACAAATTTTTATAGCAAAATATTGAGCCAATACTACAATGGCCAAATGTTGGTCCAAAATAGTACAATATTTGCAAAAAACAGATTTGGATAATTTAAATATTAAGCTGAAAGCAAACATTGGCTAACTGTTGGACCCAACGGAATAATTTTATCAATGTTAAAAGTTACGTTAGGCCAATGTGAGCTTGCTGTCACACATGCCTCCAACCACTTTTTAGTTTTGCAATTTGACCCCGGCCATTGTTATACATTCTTGGATTTGTTACAAAGAGTTGATTTAGGTTTGATATGTCACCATAATAAAATAATAATAAAATTCCTTTTAGCAAAATATTTTTCACAAGTTCATGAAATTTTTTTGTTTTTAATAAATTTATATAAGAAATAAATTAACTGTTTAAGAATTTTAGCCATTTAAGGTGTGAAAATGAGTCATATATAGAATATATCGTTTGGATATGAAAATCATGATGAAGTTTTTGTCCAAAACAAGACTCAAATAAATTGTTTGAAATTCTAAGCTCCTCTTCCAATGATTTGAAGTTAATCTGTCATTAAGTGGTCGGTGGTTTCTGCGTGTATCAACAGTTTATTAATATAGAAACATTGTAGTGACTTTCAAAACATTCGGAGCTAAAGCTAGTCTAAAAGTAGCTTTTACAGAATTTTTTTTATATTTTGAATTCTGAGGTTCTTCATATGTACTCGTTGTAGTTTTGTCTTCATGATTGTTTTTCTTAAGTTCTAAACCTTTGCTCTCACAATCTGACAGTAGGTTCAAACAAATCTAAAATAAGAAATTTTTATTTTTATAAAGTGTTGTACTATTTTCGTTTTTTTTTGACTGAATCATAATTCTCATAAACATATTTAAAATTAAATTATTTACCTTCTGAAAGCCTCTTCCTCTATCAATACCAAGTTTGACTGTTTGATTGCTCAAGTTCTTTCTTTACTCACAATAAGTAACTTTACAAACTCCTCAATATTGGCACCCTTAATATTAGGGATATTTTTCTTTACTTATAATTTCCTTTTTTAAAATCAAATATTTAATAATCAATTATAAATAACTCTAGTGCATCATCAATTACCGGAAGTGTTTTTTGTAGATTTGCTTGTATGCAAGTTTTCCCTATAATTGATTTTCTTTTTAAAATAATTTTTTTTTTAAATTAAGGTTAACTATAATGCTTAAAAAGAGTGAGAAATACTTCAAAAAATTGTTCTTACTTGAGTTTTCTTCCTAGCTGTATCAGTTTCTTGTTGAACAACGCAAATCTTGATTGAACCCTTAATAAATCAAAGTGATCTGTCATAGTTTACTTTTTAAGGGTCCTACTGATATTTGTAAAGGTTTTGCTCCTGTAGCAAGTTTAATTCTTTTTGATCTTTTTTCGTTTAATTTTTCTGAGATAACTTGAGAAGCAATCTGATCCTAAACTTTAGTTGAGGTTTGAAGTTTTTTCTAATATTTTTACAGCTAACGTTTTATTTCCACATTTGTGCTTCTTTCCCTTTCCAATGTCTGAAAGATAAAATTTACATATTTTTTGATAAGGTGCGTGCGACTTGGAAAACTTACTACTTCATCTTCTTGTTTGGATTCTTTTACGTAAACTGGTTAGTTTGCATATTTTACAGTGACAAATGGTAGAATTTCTGGTTAAAGGTGTAACAACGTTTTTAGACCACTCAAATACTTAATCTGACAAGTAGTTTTTTCGACGTATATTATTTCTATATTTATCACATATGCCGAGTGGTTTTTTAACCATGGTAATCTAAAGCAAAAGAGGGCACTTTCTCTTTTATTGCTTGCATATTTAATAGTCTTGATGTTTTGTGGGCACAAAAGTAACAAATCTTTTTTCGGTTTGTGTCATGATCACACTTTTTTATTGGATGCAACTTAATAAGTATTTTTATTTATCTACAAAGAAACTTTTACATTAACTGATAATTTTAAACCTTTTATACACGTTTAGATAAAAAAAATTCAATAATCTTAAAGATGTTACCTGTTACACCGTAAAATAAGAGCTTATGGAGAAGACCAGGGACGTCCTGAACGAAGGATGTAGAGGTGCTCTACCCTGCTACCCCACCACCACCAAAGCTCTCATATAATCATTTGAGTTGGCACATTGAGCAAGTTTTGACCTATAGTTGGCAAACTGCAAATATTAAGAATCATTTTTTTTTGGTGTCTTTAGTTGAAAAAAAATATATTAACTTTTTTATATTAACTGACAATTTTTTAATGTAAATTTTATGATGGGGCTTGATGATAAGACAATTTATGTTTTCTGCTTGCTCCAGTTCTCTTATTTATTAACACGATTTAATTCATTGTAAATTTTAATGTATGAAAAAACTCTTTGTTAAAATAAAAATAAAAAAAAATAAAAAAAAACACAAATATGTATGTATATTTTAATACATGTATATATATATATATATATATATATATATATATATATATATATATATATATATATATATATATATATATATATATATATATATATATATATATATATATATATATATATATATATATATATAATTTTCATGTCCTGCATTTAAGGAAAATTCCAAAATTGATTCTTTTTCGCCCTTAAAACGTATATATTTTGCTAAAATGTATACGTTCTATCCTACCTATATGCACCTTTAATCCTACGCATGTATACTTGATCCAAGATAAATTTTATACCATGAATGTGTAAAAATTATTTTTAAGTTATCAAAACTATGTATTATGAGGGTGTTCAAAAGTTAGGTAAAGGAAAAATATTTACAACAAATAAGCAACTTTTTGTGCTCTTTTATAAAGAAATGAAAGACTGGTTGTTGTTTAAAAAAAATAGAAATACTGGATACTATTTTAGTAAATATATATTTATGTTGTTTAAAAGACATATACCAAAAATTATCATTTTATGTTTATTTCCAGGCTTTTGCGCCGGACCTGTATCCAATGTTGACACTTTTTACCTTCTATAGCCAAAAACAGGTTAATCCATTACTTGATATTTTTATCACTCCAGTTTCTGTATTT